GCTCAGCCCCGTACGCACATACACAGATGAATGGGGGAGGAGAGACGAAGAGGTGGGGGGGGAGGTAGACAGCACCGAAAGTCACCGAGATAGAATCTGATAGGTCACCGATATGGTAGTMCAAAATGTCATCCAACAGGAKCAAATGTCGAGGACCATAGGTCACCAATGTCGGGAATACAGAGTCCAAATGTAACCGGTGTCTGAACTGTGATGTCGCCAAGTATCAACCCCAACGATCTCCAAGTCTCCAATCTGGTAAGTACCACAGTCTCATACCACCGAAGTCCAACTCTGATCTCTGTCCAATCTGAAGAAGAAGAAGAAGAAGGAGAAGAAGAAGAAGAAGGAGAAGAAGAAGGAGAAGAAGGAGGGAGCCGAGGAGGAGAGGGAGAGAGAGGGGACTGGCGATGGGAGGGAGGAGAGAAGCCTCCAACTCCCGGTACCTCAGGCGGCTATGGCCGCCGGTAACCCAGTCGCCGCTGCTGCTGCTCCGCTCGCTGCTGCTGCGCTGCCTGCTCCTTGCTCCTGCGCTAAACATAGCGCTCCAACGGCACTCTGGTGCCGACCTTACCGCACCGTGTCGTATACCGGTGGGTCAATCCCCGAAGTGAGGCCGGACCGGTTCTATATACCGGTGGGGCAGAGGCCGGCCTCAATGCTGCGAGGCCTGGCCGTGCCCTGAACCGTCCAGATGGACGGTTCAGCCCCAACCGGCGGGCGGCAGCCTCAAGAGCGCCGCCAGGCCCAAACGGTAATGTCGTTTGGGCCTGCCCGTCGGGTCTGGTCCAAGGTGAGGCCTTTATGGCCTGTAGTACCCCCAAGGTCGGGCCTTTAGGCCCTGATGTGTCCCTCTAGCCCTCAGTCGGGTCCGGTAGGACCCATGTGGCGTCGAAGATGTAACAGCCACACAGCCACCAAGGATCGCAAGCTGTGGTGAGTGCGGAGAGGGGTGGTGGTCCCATCCCCCTGGATTCTTGGAATCTTCGCTCTGGACCGTTGATTGCCAGGATCGAGGACCAGAAACATGGAATCTGGATCCGTGGGACCTTGTCCCGCAGATTAATATCTGCTTGGGCAATAGAAAGTGTCTCATCTCTCTTTGAGCACTGGCAATTTCGCGGCAAATGCAGAACGAGTCTGAGTGCATGTGGTGTATGTACAACTTGTAGGCATTTTGTTGCTTGCAGCGTCCTTCGCTCTCATGTCCCTATGGTGTGGTGCAGTGCATGTGGGCGAACTGGTCGTGTTTGTAGGTGTGTGGCGTTCCTTGGAGTGCGCGCCTGGCTTCAGCGTGGAGTGCATTCGGCAGCTCAACTGAGGTGTTGTGTTGGTGTCGGCCTTTCCCCATGGTGGTTGGGCACAGCCCGCAGGTCTCGGCGGACCCACTTACGTGACTCGCTCATATGCGACAAAGGCGCATGCAACAGTTCGTTGAGTCTTCGGCAACCTCCCTCGCCTTGATCGAGCGCGGTGTCCGGTGGCGCTGTAGCTCTCAGTGAGATGACGAATCTGGAAGCAGAGGATGATGAGGTGTTGGCGGGTGCAGGAGCAGATCTGATGCAGCGGAAGAAGACGGGAAAGATTATACGGAAAGCGCACGCTCGCGTCGGGCTTCTCGGCAACCCCAGCGATGGCTATTACGGTAAGACCATCTCTTTCTCTTTGAAGAACTTTGCGGCGACCGTCACTCTCACCCCATCTGAAACTTTGCGTATTGTGCCGCATCCAGAGCACGACCCATCAGAGTTTCCTTCGCTCCGGGATCTTGTTGGATGGACGGGGACCGCCGGATACTACGGCGGCGTACGGTTGTTGCTGGCGGCGTGCAAGAGGTTCCATGACTACTGCGCAGAGCATTCTATAGATATACCAGATGACAGCAACTTCACCCTTAGCTACGACACAGATATTCCGAGGCAGGCGGGCTTGTCGGGCTCCAGTGCCATCGTGTGCGCCGCGCTCAGCTGCCTGTTTGAACATTACGCCGTAAATGACAAGATACCGATCGCCGAAAGGCCGAGCCTCGCGCTCAGTGTCGAGGAGGAACTTGGAATAACCGCCGGGTTGCAGGATAGAGTGATTCAGGTGTATGGCGGTCTGGTCTACATGGACTTCGATCGGGATGTGATGACGAGGATCGGCGGCGGAATTTACGAGCCCATGGACCCGGGCCTGCTCCCACCGCATATGTATGTCGTCTATTCGCACAACCCGGAAGAGTCGGGCAAAGTTCACAGCAACTTGCGCAGACGGTGGATCGCCGGCGAGACGTCTGTGGTCGACGACCTGAACCAGGTCGCGTCTTTCGCGGAGCAGGGCAGGACGGCGCTTAAGAATGGCGATACGCAATTGCTGGCGGCGTTGATCGACCGCAATTTTGATTATCGGAGGAAACTGTTCGGCGATGCCGTTCTAGGTTGCCTGAACATCAAGATGGTGGAGGTTGTGCGGTCGGTCGGCGCAGCGAGTAAGTTCACCGGAAGCGGGGGCGCCGTGCTTGCCTTTTGTCCTGAAGGGTCTTCGCAGTCTGCCAAATTGAAAGAAGCCTGTGCAAAGGAAGGATTTGAATGCGTTCCGGCAATAGTGGCGCCGTCTCTGGTCACTGCAAGCTTGGACGGTAGCGAGTGAGTAGCATCTGGTCACATTGCAGCCTGCAGGTAATGTTGCTCAGTTATGGAAAAAGCTCTTTTCGCTCTTCTCCTTCTTCTTCTTTTCATCTCTTTTTTTGTGTGTTTGTGTGTCTGCTGAGTAGGTTCTTTGCTGCTGACGGACCTTCTCTAAGGGCTTTATGTATACCCGAGGCGGAATTTTCTCTTGTGCGCCAAAGAAACTGCCTCTGTTAATGGGATTTAAGAGTGGAGCAAATGGGAAGGGGCGGGATTAGGAAAAGGTAAAACCACCTGTACCTCCGGCCCTCCGGGCCTCTTTTTGCCGAGGCGGAAAAGAACTGCGCGCCAACCTTCGCCGAAGCGCCGGCACAGTGCCTTTTTTTTTCGCTTTTTCGCTTTTTCGCTTTTGGCTGGCACTGCCAGCCATTGTCCTCTGGCAGCGCTGTTCACCCGAAGCACCCGGAACGTTGCGTTTCTGATTCTCGTCGTGGCTTCGGAGGAGGGAAAGGCAGTCACTGCGGCGGAAATCACGATGAATTGAACCTTTTCAGACCAGCACAGGGAATTGGGTCAAGCTACTGGTGCTCCTGGAGCTGCGTGGTGGTGGAGTTCAGTGGGCTCAAAATAACAAGTTTTTGCAGACTAAGAATTCAGATCTTTTGAGATAAATTGAGACTTATTTGAAGTTATTTCACACTGCCCTACTTCATTAATCAAGACTGCAAAAAAAAGGTGTCGATTTCAGTCCAGTCCTGCGCAGAAAGAAGGTGTGGCCCCTCCCTTTTTTTTTCAATTTTTCCTTCTTTTTTTTTTTTCTGTTGTTGAATTTGAATTGGGACCATTTCTCGATTTATGCGTCTCATCCCTACACAGGGGCCATGCTAATCTTCTTTCTCTGTATCGTTCGAAATTTACCGAATGTCCCGGACGACATTTCGTTTTTTTTTATCTTTCCTCTGATGTATCGTTTTTCGCATCGGCAGAAGAAAATTGTACTTGTGAAAAATGCGAAATTGTCTCAGATTCCCCACTTGTCACCCAGCTCCGGTTAGGTATCGGGTGAAAATTTGAAAATAACTTTTTTTTTTTTTTTTTTTTTAGTCTTTCACGCTCTCGCTAAAAAACGAGTGTTCTATGACGCCCAGCTGAGAAAGAATGAACCTACCGACTTCACCTTAGTAGCAGGGGCGGTCATTATAGCTGTATTTAGTGCTACTTTCAGGCTAGATACAGTGACAATCACTGGCCGTTCTAGTACTTGGGTGAAGATGGTAGTGTTCTGGATTTGTTCCCTGCGACGTTGGCTCTGAAATGCACGCGGGACGGCGGACGGCGGTCTAGTATCACGACCAACGGGACCACGATCAACCCCAAAAAAATGACTATTTAGTGTTTAGGGTTTTAGGGTCTGAAATGCACGTGGGTTTTAATCTGTGAAAACCCTAAACCCCAGTACCTTTCTCGGCCTTTTGTCAAAAAATAGATAAAGTGTAGCATCTGTTCTGATCAGTTTAATATCTGATCCGTGGTCACCACACGATATTAAATTATTTTTTTTGGGGCCAATAACCAAAAAGAAAAAATTATCTATATAAAAATAATAATAAAATTAATGAATAAACCCTAAACCCTAAACCCTGAGCCCAAATTCTCACTTGTACCCTTCAAAATGCAAACCCTTAGTTTAAACCCCTAAGCCGTAAATTCTTACCCTCGAAGTTTAGCCACAATCCCTAGGGCCCAAGATTTGAAAACTGAAACTCTTAAGCCGGAAATTGTTAACCTGAAAGTTTTCTAAACCCTACACCCAGAATTTGAACCGGTGTGGAAATGGAGCCAGGTCCATAAGGACCACTTTATTTATTTTTTTATTTTTTTTTTAAAAAGGGGGGGGGGGAGCCCTATGGGAGTATATTCCTGGGACCCTCAGCTCTCAACACTTGAATCCCGAAGCATGCACCTGCACCCTATTTCGTGAACAAGAGAGTCCTATCGGCTTCCCCCGAACACAGTGCACCCTCATTTTGACGGTATTAGACCTGAAAAATACCTTGTATACGTCCGTTATCGGGGTGCATTACGTTCAGGAGACGACGGTATAGTCGGGACTGCTGCGGGACTACCCCTCGGCTCACAGTGGGACCATTGTGGCATTTCCTGGGTGGAAGTATGGCACATAGAGCTAGACGATTATCATGCTGTATTACTTGTTTCAATCTTTTGGCTATTAAACCACCAGTTCTTCCAAAAGCCGTGCCCGTAAACAAGCCACGACTTTAGGAAACGTACGGGCCACTACAGAAGCGCCCAAATTCATCCGACTAGAAACGTTTCTACTCCATTTTTCCTTCGTGGCCGATAGCTGGGCCAAGTACTGGTGGTTTAGGCGCCATGACTTGGCCCGAGCAGAATCAGATTATCAGACCAATGTTTTTAACGCTTAAAAGTTTAAACAGCCAGTACTTCCCAGGGCACTTTTGTCTGGGGCTGGAGACGCGCTGTGCGCCCAAAATGAAATGAACCACGCAGCGCCCGCCATTTTGCTCTGGCGGCCAAGCCTCAAAAGGTGTGGCAGCTTGCAAGCCGCGACTTCGAAAAAATGCCTGGGAAATGTACGCACCATGGTATGACAATCCCGCTCATTTTCGTGCACATAAATTTTACGAGGCCTATTAATGAAAATTCAAAATTCCGATTTCATTGTTAATTAAAAAAATAAAAAAATAAAAAAATAAAAATCCCGATTTCATTGTGATATCCATCCGCATTGTGCCAACCCGGCGAGGGGCAGATGCAATGTTTCCAGAGATTTTAGGAGGCGCTTTTGCAAGCTGCGCCTGACGTACTAGTAGAGGTTGCACCGGGAGCCAGTGCTTGTTAGGAAGACGACCCATTGTTCGTGGTGTTGATATGATGGATCCCGGATGGATAGAAAGGCAGACTGATGGACAGGGTACTGAGGGTAGGATGATGAGGAGCCAGTACATCCGTGCCTCTTTTTGCCGTGGTGATTTCACTGTGCGCGCCAAGTTTTGCCGAACCGCCAGCACTGCCCAGCAGCGCACCGTTTTTTTTTTGTTTTTTTTTTTTTTGGCTGGCAACGCCAGCCCTCATGGTCCAGTAACCCCGAGCCCCCAAAATGTTGCGGATTGGCTCGATTTCGATTCTCAAGTCTGCCTGGGGACTCCTCCCTATTTGAGCCTGCTCAGTCAATCCCCTGTCTTCAGGGTACTAATCAATGCTGGCAGGTTGGAAGACAGTCAGAAACATCTCAGCGTGATTGAAATGGTTGTTGTCTAAGGTGCAATCACACTCCGATTATTCACACTTGTCTTGCATGCAAACAGCGATACAGCAACTGGCGACATGCGCCCTGACAGTACTTAAGATATCGTAACCAGATAYGAGTTCTCTTCAACYGGCTATGGCKACTGGGCRCCCACACAACTCACTGTTYGCACTCTGGATCACCCTGGATGTCCCACACGCAACACTCAGTATCATACGCAACACACACACACGCTAYGCTACAGCTATGGCAGCGCTAGCTGCCACTACCTATCGCTACACTACACTTCTCTGCCCACTTCGTCTTCGGGCACACTGCAGACCTCCTCGCACAAGCTGCTAAGGCAGCGCTTCCGCATGGCATCCGCAGGAATGAATGAATGGCTGGACGCAGCCTCTTGATTTATACTTCTGCGCTGCGTTGGTCTGCCCTGTATCCCTGGCCCATGGTGCACACAGTCCCCCCCGTGGTACTTGCTGGACCGGACTGGTACTTTCTAGACTCTCCCATGACTGCATGGCCCTACGACGCAGTGCAGTTGCACTGGGGTCCTACTATTTGCAGTCACACCACTTGCCCACTTGCCTGCACCACTTGACCACTTGCCAACCTTCTAGAAGGACTGCAGCTAGACTTCTAATCTACAGGTCTACAGATCGAATCCTGCCTACCTATAGACCTACGACAGACCTACTTACTACCACTGGCGGTTCTACAGGTCGCAGGTTCAATTCTTCGAGTTGACACAGGTATTGTACACAGGTAAGTTGGGGAACTCGGGATCGAGCCCTGGGATCTGCATCAGCTACTTCGAACTGGTGAATACCGTTTCAAAGGGACGCTGGACCCGATTTCCAGCAGGCGTTGCTCCCCACCAAATGATGGAGCCGCCCCGGGGGAGATAGAGGCGTCTGCTCGTACCAGCGCCCCCATCTCCCATACAGGCTGTTGTTAAAAAAAAAAAAAAAAAAAACTACATTGTTCTGAACTATTTAGA